TGGATCAACATCCTCTAGGTTAGATTTACAACCTGCCTTTCATTAAGGAGCTCAAGGTAACAGAATATATGAACATACAAGTTGTGTCAGATGTTTTGCACAAGAATACTATAAACCACTTCCTTAGGAACACAGTCCTGGTTTGGGGGAGGGGTGGTTGTAAAAGAAATCAACATACTTCCTCCACTTATTTTCCTCACAACAACCTATGAGTTGGGCTAAAAGAGAGTGACTAGCCCAAGGTTATGGCTGACATTTTCTTTTAGGGGTTTGTAAATATTGTCTTAGTACCTTGCCCATCACCAAATTTAACTAACAAATAGATAAAATACTTTAAATAATACCATTTTTTGAGGGATGGGATCATGATTACAGCCAAGAGTTCAATAATCACAGTAATGAAATAACACTCACAGACCAGATTTGTGAAAGTTTTCTCAAAATAAACATTATTTTGTCCAAAGCAATTTACTTAGAAGGACGTACTGCATATATTGGAATGCAAAACTAAATGTCTTTATGTCCTGATTCATCTTCCTCAGTTGCTTCAATTAGATAAAAATAATTTTTGTTTCTAGAATGCACCTGATACAAAGTTGGCTCACACTTTCTTTCCATCTTGTTAATTATTATGGGATTGTTGTTTTTTTGCAGCAGGCCCATTTTTTCTTGTTCTTGCCAGTCGAAAGCAAGTTTTTCAGATAGCCAATATAATAAACATGCTAAATTTCAATAAAAGCAACATTAGCCCAAAATTATTTAGACAGGCCAACTTGGTGGTCAGAATCACTGCTATCAAGAAACGTTCATGGCAGCAGATGTGGAAGCTATGAAGTTAATTTGAACAATTTTTCAAAAAAATCTTATTTTAACAATCCAATGAATTTACTATCTTTGGTATAGGTGAGGGGGGGAAAGCAAGAGAAAAGGAGAGGCATTTCTCTTTGTCATTCTCTCCATCCTACACATTTTTCTCTTCAGCCCAAAATCATCAATAGAAATGATACTGAAAACTGCCTGATGTTTATCCTTTATATTTGGTTATCTTTAGTAGCTAAATCAACATTTTTGGTTCCCTGCTTCTTCCTCTTTCAAAAGAGCAAGACAGCAGCCAAGTTCCTGCCAACGTTGGAGATGGAATAGAGTCAGAATCCTGACATGTGTTTAGAAAGGACAGTAAAATCTGACATAGCTATCAGGCTGTAATGACACATTTACGACTGCACCAGGCCAGAACACTTTGCACGGCTGATGCTACAGAAAACCACTAAGTCTTACAACTGATAGTCTCACAACCAGGAAGTATTGGTACTGCATCTTTACAGCTGTTAACCAAACAACAGTACAGTGAATATCTCACAGTTTCCACCACAGGTCAAAGATCATCTGGGGAGGACAATCAGTGACATTGACAAGCTGAGCCTGTCCCACTGAATGCTATAGAATTCAGATACTGGATTGGCAGTGATCCCTCAATCTGAGCAATAAATTCTTTCTTCTCTTTTTAAGTGAATTCTTGTCTTTTACCAATTGAAATGTGTATGTTCTTGGTGCCAAATCTGTTGACTGGAAAATTATTTATGGAGGATAGAGATAAAAAGAAATTTAACTCTTCTGATTCTGAGAAGGTGATCATGCAAGAGATTATGAAGAGTTTGAGATCTAACCTGACATAAAATCACCCAACAAATTGTCAAATACCATGTTTCCCTGAAAATAAGACCGGGTCTTATTTTTATTTTATTTTATTTTGCCTCCAAAAGAGGGACCAGGTCTTATTTTGGGGGAATGTCTTTTATACTCACCTCCCGCACTGACAGCCCCTCCCAACTGATCCACTTATTCTGGCCGAAGGGGCAGCTTCATTTTACAGCTTCAGTCTGGTCTGCATTTTGCAGTCAGGCCTTTTCGGAAGGCTACTGCAGCTAAGTACCGAGCTATGGATTAGCTGCTTGACTTGAGAAATGCAGGCCTGGCTGCAAAAGACACCGCAGAAGAAGTGGGTTGGCAAAGAGAGGCCTGGCTGCAAGGTAAGGGTGCAGGGCCCCCTGGGGCAGCTCCACACCCCATCCCGCCCTAGCTTGATTTTTAGGTGTGTGTCTCACCCCAAAACTAAGGCTTATTTTGGGGTAGGGCTTATATTAAGCCCACCCCCAAAAATCAACCTAGGGCTTATTTTCGGGATAAGCCTTACTTTCGGGGAAACACGTTATCTATTATGGATACTGTTTTCTGGAACACAATAAAGATACAGCTTCCAACCATGTTCATCCTTGTCTCTATGGCTATTTGATCCTTGGGGTAGAATATGTAATACACAGTGCTTTTTTTGTAAAAAAACAAAAAAAAAGGTGCCAGAACTCATACACGTCATAAAACCCGCCTTGCCTACCCTACAAGGTTCCATCCAAAAAAGGTGCCAGAACTCCGTTCTGGTTATTCTATGACAAAAAAAGCCCTGGTAATACATATTTGCTTGCCAAAAAGCAAGCCATCTTTATCAGTGTGGGAAATGTATGAAATAATTACAAAACTCAAGAGTTCAACACAGATCAATTTCCATGTGACATAATTCTTATCAATTTCAAATGTGTTTCCAGAGGAAATGACCTTGTAAATTCTACTACAATTATATTCAAATATCTTGAATGCAAACTCAAAGCAACTACAAAATAAAAATGTTTAGCTAATTAAATCTTATGATTACAATTTTAAATCTAAGCTTGAGATAATAATAATCTCAAGATTACTTAGCACCTTGACTATTTAACAAATGTACCTCTTGTCAATTACTTTGTGTAGTAAAAATCACATAGTATTTAAAATCTGAGCCAAGCATTCTTATTAAAAGCCTTAGAACTATATTTCAAATATTTCTAAAAAAATTTATACTTCATTTATTAATTGTAGGCAAGAGAGGAGGTAAGTAATCATCTACTGCTGGATTTAAAAGTTCTACTTTAGTGAAATTAAAGAATTTAATTTTTAAAAATGTGTATTTGAAACTAATGGATTTTCATACATATTTCTTACTTGTTATGAGTATCAAACATTTTCAAAATACATACATAAACAATGCACAACCTGAGTTTTATAAGTGCTTACTATGCATTACAGGTAGTCCTTGACTTACAGCCATTGACTTAGTGACTGTTCAAAGTTACAACGGCTTATGAATATTTTCCCACACTTATGACCACTGCAGCATCCCCATATGATCAAAATTCAGATGCTTGGCAATTGGCTCATATTTATTAACGTTGCTGTGTCCCAGGTTCATGTGATCAACTTTAGCGACTTCCTGACAAGCAAAGTGAATGGGGAAGCCAGGTTCACTTAACAATCGGGTTACTAACTTATCAACTGCAGTGATTCGCTTAACACCTGTGGCAAGAAAAGTCGTAAAATGGGACAAAATTCACTTAGCAAATGTCTCACTTAACAGAAATTTTGGGCTCAATTGTGATCGTACTTCGAGAACTACCTGTATTGCAGTGTCCCAAAATCATGAGATCACCTTTTGCAACCTTCTGAGAAGCAAAGTCAATGGGGAAGCCAGATTTAACAACCGTGTTACTAACTTAACATTTGCATTGATTTACTTAATAACTGTGGCAAGAAAGTTTGTGAAATGAGGCAAAATTTATTTAACAATTGTCTCACTTAGCAATATAAATTTAGAGCTCAATTGTGGTCATAAATTGAGAATAATTGGATTAAAAACCTAGAGAGATGAAATAATGAAAATTAAAAGCCTTAGTAGTTCTTCTGTGAACAGAAGACAGAGGAAAGTATTAATTGGTATGAATTTCTGGAAAGTCTAAAATATAAGTTCCTTGAACTTGTTTTGCTAGACAGAAACAATACTCTTGTCGCTAAAAATGTTAAAAATGACCTACCGTCATATATTTTTTCCTAAAACTAGCTTATTATTGCTAATAGTATTTCCTCCCAAAACAAATGTCAAAGAATGATATTTCATGGTAGAGATGAAGCAAAGGGCGGAAAAGGTGAGAATGTTGAGAATGGGCAAAATATCAAGTTCCCCAACATGGAGTAGTATATATTTTTTAAAAAATCCTAGGGAATTCTAGGAATTGCAGTCCTGAAACATCCAAAAGACACTTGATTTGAGGAGGTAAATTCTGCATCTACTATAGAACAGGATGGTGTATAGTGTATGGTTACTGCAGAAAGAGTAAAAATGGTGAGATTGGATTAAATCAGGGATTTAATAGACTCATTCAATATTTTAATTCAGGTGCAATGCTACACATGTCATAGAACAAATAATTTATTCCCCAATGTCTGTTTCACCAAAATTCAAATCACATTTTTTTAAATGCTAAAAACCTGTCTTTTCTTTGATCAAATGTCAAATTCACTGTCCCATTGGTTGAAGTTATTAGAACATTCCAGACTTAGAAGGACCCAATTCCAAGTCTAGAATATGGCATGGGTAAAGATAGGAACAAGTGGAATTAACAAAAAGGAGCATGCTGAAAACCTGACACGTATTTAATCAAAACTGTAAGGCTTCGTGGCATCCGAACCAGAACATCCAGATTCAATCACAGTTTTGTTCCATACAGTATGACTCTTGTGAACTCTAAAGCTTCCTCCTTCCGTTATGTATTCAAGATGCACAGTGATTAATATTTATATGTAAGGGTGCAAGCTTATACATATGTTGTATATAGTATGTTTAAATGTGTTATGTATATGTACACCTTGAGAACAAGCAACTAAATTTTATTTTTAATGTGTGCCATTGTGTCCACAGTAAAAAAATGACAATAAAGGTTATCTATCTATCTATCTATCTATCTATCTATCTATCTATCTATCTATCTATCTATCTATCTATCTATCTATCTGATAAGTGATGGTCCCTATAATGGTTTCATAAGCAGAATATGCACAACCTTCACTGTTAAGCCTTTGGAAAGGTTAATAAAATACAGTAAGCAACATTTGGAAAACCAAGTTTCAATGCTCACCAGTTAATTCACTGTCTTCACTATGTACTGTAATCCTAGGAAGATGAAAGAACATTTCTTGGGTTGGTGCCATCATAACATAATTATGATACATTTTAATCCCAGCAGGAGTTATTCACATTCACAACTAAAAGGGTATTCTAAAAATGTATACCATAGTTATCTGGTGATAACTGGTGACGTGGTATATGTATCTTACTGTATATGTATATATTCAGAATGCTATATTACTTCTCCCTGCATAGAAGTTTATTAATCCAAGCATAATTAAAAACAAATAGTGCTATATTATAACCAAACATTTTGGCCACCATATCATACATTATTTCACTAGTTCGTCTGTTTCAAATTTCAATAAAAGTTTAAACATTTTAGCAATCATTTGTACACAATTCTATTTTAAAATCAGTTCTATAATGTTCAATGCAGGTAGTCCTTGACTTACAATCATTTGTTTAGTGACCATTCAAAGTTACATTGGCACTGAAAAAAGTGACTTAAGACTGTTTTTCATACTTACAACCATTGCAGGATTCCTACGGTCACGAGATAAAAATCTGGATGCTTGACAACTGGTTCATATTTATGACGGTTGCACTATCCTGGTATTATGCGACCATCTTTTGCAACCTTCTGACAAGCAAGGTCAATGGGGAAGCCAGATTCACTTAACAACCATGTTACTACCTTAACAACTACAGTGATTCACTAACAACCATGGCGAACAAGGTCATAAAATGAGACAAAGCTCACTTAATAAATGTTTCACGTAGCAACATAAATTTTGGGCTTCACTGTGGTCATAAGTAGAGGACTATCTGTACTATGAACTCCTTTGCCTACTTTAAATCTTTTTGATAATTGTAAATAAGAAAATCATTAACAACAATATTCTTCTGCCACCAATTATCCTGTTGATTTTATTTTGTATTCCCCTTGGCAAACTTTTTAGTATCTTATGACACATAAGCCATTTATGTTTGCCTATTGTTTAGAAACCACAGGATAACTATTTTTTAGATAAAAATCCACATTGATCCAAGGAACAAATTCTTGCAAAATTATTTTCAACCTATCAGCCAGTATCATTGTAAAACAACTTGCACTCATTATTCATTAATGGTATCCACATATAATTTTTTTAAAGTCAAATCTTGTGCATCTTTAGATATTAATACTATTTTGGCCTTGTTCCAACTCTCTGGGATCTTTCCTTCCTGCAAAATAAAATTCATTATATTTTGTAAAGATTGCAAAAGTTCATTCTAAAAGTATTTATAATAAGAACCTGGTAATTTATCTGATCCAAGTACCTTTCCTGTTTTAATCTTTAATCCTTGATAAATTTTGTTCCTTTAAATATTCATCTATTTCTCCAGAGAAATGTCTAATATACATACACTCTCTCGAACGGCCATCTTACTGACTCCATATATCAACAAGCACTAAATTGCCCATTCAATAAAAAAAAAACTTTTGATGATTTGCCTTGTGTTAATTTTAATATATTTGTCAGAAGGTAGGTCATTTCATTTCAATCTCCCATCAAACACCAATTTTCTTAAGAAAAACTGTTTAGTCTTTTCATAGAACAGGACCTCGAACCTCCAGTAAGATTTCACTAAGGAAAGGTTCTCCTACATGTCATCATCAAATGAGACACTATATTGAAGTTAAGAAGGAAGGAGAACCTCTGGAACCAACAACCCATATATGGGAGAGGTCATTATAGTTATTATCAAAGAAATAGATTCTTGGCCCTTCAACTTGGAAAAAAATGCAAAGCCTGAATTCACTAATAAAGAAGAGCTGAGAATACCTATCTCAATTCCAAAGAGTCTGCATTCTAACCCATAGTTCTTGGCACTAAAAGTAAACTGTAAGGTTTTGTTCATATATCACAGTAAGCCTGCATTCTGCTTAGTACAATGGATGATGATGAACAAACTCCATCAACTCTGGCTAATTCAACAAACTATAGGTAAAAAACCATGGCTTAATATGATATATGAGCCAGACTAATAGCTATGACCTTTAAAAGCATCACCATTTCACTTAGTACAAAGCTCTCTCGTGTATTAGAGGGGCCAGGAAAATACAATTTTCATGGATTCTGGTCATCCAAATCACTATGACCCTAGAAATAAAAGTGACACCATTGTTCTGCTCTGGTCAGTCATATTCTACATAAAGTATATTATCCATGAAACGTTCCATCTTGCCCAGCTAAGAATAAAATGCTGAACCAAACTTATAAAACAATCTTATAAAAGATGAAGGCAGAAACTGTCTCATATCAACTTTAACAACTGAATTAAGATAATACTTTTCCTCTAAATGTAATTTACTGGATCTGGAAAGGCATACTAATAATAAACCTATTTAATGAAATCAATACAATTTTAATCAATTCATTTAGGGAGTTTAATTTAGCAGGAAACATTTATAGAACCTGGAGATGTTTAGCAAGGAAATGACAGGCAAGAAAAAAATAAGACTTTTGGATGACATAAATTCACAGAAGCCAAAAGGGCAAGAACTGGGGAATAGGAAAATGCAGTAAATGGAGAGGAAATAAAATTTCAGCATTAGAAGGAGCAATTTGCCAAAAAAAGAAGGAAGAGAATAAAAATTATAACTGGAATTTCCAATATCATTCATCTTTTCAAATAGAAGTTCTTTCCATGAAGGAAAATAGGAATGGCTTAACAAATAGGTATAATAACTTGCCATAGTATTTTACCAAGCATATTGAAAAATAGTTGCAAATATTGGTGCTTGATCATTTACTATAAAATAATGTAGCAAGAAATGCTATAATCACTTTGGTCTACTACAGTGGTTCTCAACCTTTTTAATGCCGTGACCCCCAACCTGTCGTAAGTCGAGGACTACTCAACCGGTCGTAAGTTGAGGACTACTCAACTGGTGCAGCACCGTTTGCAGAATGGGACTTTTGACGAGCACAGCAGGGCAGAGGCAGCCTGGACAATTCCTATTGGCTTTTGAAAAGAGAGTCTATTCTATTGGCTTTCAAAAGCCAATAGAATAAAAGGGAGTAGCACAGTTAAGGAAAAGGGGGGGGGGAAATGGTGGACTGCGTTGTTTGGCGACCCCCGTGAAATGTACATTTGACCCCAAATGGGGTCCCGACCCACAGGTGGAGAACCACTGGTCTACTAGTTAAGGTACCAGGCGAAAAAGGAGAAGGAGACTCTGAGTTCTAGTTCTGCCTTGGACATGATAGTTAACTAGATGACTTTGGGCCAGTCATTCTTTATTAGCCCAGCACATCTCATAGGGTTGTTATTGTGGGAAAAGAGGAGGAAGAAAGAGTACAAGTTGTTCTTAACTTATGACCACAACATAGTTGCTTCTATATTGACAATAAACCTTACCAGGACTCACCCAATAGGGACAAAAGGAGACAAGGCACATTCTGTTATTGATTATCTGGAAATTGTGAAGAGGTCTCAGGAATGCAGGAAGAATGTCATAACAGACACCAGACCCATGCACATGGGTAATTTCACAGGAAAACTAAACAAACTTTGGTCTGGTATTGATTTGCTACCCCATTCTCCCTTCAACTTCCCTGTTCCCTTCACATGAGACACATGAAAATTTGACAGATTTAATTACACAGCATCATATATCACATTTTTATGCCAATTACTTCACACACAAAAAACCCCCCACACTATTGTATGCTAAATAATTTTTTTCTATTGCTGTCCATTTCTTTGGAAACGTGGTACGTAGATTCATTCATAAAGCAGTGAAAGGTTTTGTCAGTTTCTTTGTTGCTGTTCTCTATATAAATGATAGAAGATATTTTAAGTTGCTAAAGCAATTTAACTCTTAGAACAATTGTGTGACAACTGGTGTTTGTATGTGAATGTGCAATTCCATCAACCATGGATTGGTTGACATTTCAATGGCAATGCATGCTAATAATGTTTCAAATTATAAACATTTTCTATTTGCTTAGCAATATGTCACATCTACTGAATGAATAACACACATAATTAAATCTTAATAGGAATATCACTATTTTCTACAACTTATCAAGAAATAACACCACTATGATATCTGTGCCATGTTCTCTAAACAACAGCAAATACTGTAGACAAAAACTCAAAGACCTTTATTCTTTGCTTGCATATACCTGGCTCAGATTTCTTTGTAAAATTACGCACAGGTATACAATTTATATATACTGGAGTCAAATAATTGGAATTCATTGGTTTGATAATTGAACATTGAGAAAAGGCTCACATTTTAATAAGAAATCATTATGTATAACCACTCTGACATTTTTTCCTTTGTATACGCTAAAATTATAAAGGCTATAAAATGATTTCATAATCAAGAAATTATTCTCTCCGATTTATACATTTAACATTTCATTGAAATTACACACAGAATATATCACAACACATTTTAACTGCATGATTGCATTGTAACATATTTTGAAGTAAACCATGCAGTATTTTAAGCAACCATTGAAAAACTGTATCTTTTCAATGAATGTTTTGTGGCTATTTTGAGATTTCCAGTCTTTTTGCATGTTGTTGGCGTACTTAAAAATTCTTGAGCAATTTTGTCCTGGATTGAAGCAGTTTTCATATTCTAGGTTAATGAAAATAAACATCCTTGTCTAGCAAATAAATCACTTTGAGAACAATCCCTTGAAAAGAGTTTATCAAACATACAGAACAAATTTAGCATACAAGCAACATTTTATAAGGGACAGGATTACATAGGGTTCCATTTTTTGGTCTGGATTTGACAGTGAAAAATGTGAATTGAACAGGAGGGCTTAATTACGAGAATAAAAGAAACCAGAACTATCAATTATTTGCATAAGGCTCATAAGTGCAATAATACCCTTGATTGGCCTGTGGCATTAACACAACCCTATCTATGGAATAATAGCAGTGAAATTATTGCTTCTGAACTTAACATGTTAATTTCTGAGCTAAGAAATGAAACTGGAAAATAACCTTCCTTCCACACCATGCAAGTTTGATCA